TCCATATCCCATGAGTCTGTGCTGCTGGCATGCAGTCAAAGCCTCATGGGAGCTGTAATCAAATTTACCTTTATTAACCAAAGGAGGAAATGAATTTTGTCCTGAGGTACAAACAGCAGAGAGAGGGAACGACTGAAGCATGTTGTTTTATCTCCAGAGTCATGTTTGGACCGCTGCGAAAATGGCTTTGACGCCCGGAAGAAGTGCCAGTGTGACTCCATGTGCAAGTACTACAAAAGCTGCTGCTCTGACTTTGAATCCACCTGCAATATGATGAGTAAGAAACCTCTCTGCTCATTGGTTCATTCATTCTGTTAAGAACTCACAGGTCAAAAATGGATGTTGACATTTCTCTCACACCCCCCTCAGCTCGCGGAGACACATTTCAGTTTGCAGAAGATGATTATTACGATGGGCAATCTGAGAGCACGCCTCAGCCCACACGTCGTTCAGCACCCAACCAGCTGAGGCCTACGCAACCGCCGGACTTCAATCCCAGAGCGCAAGAACGCCCTGAGACCACGCTGGAAATGACCAGACCGACCAGACTGAGAGTCTCTAACATCCCGCCGACACGTGCGGCACACCCAGACACCCACACATTGGAGGACTCCATCACGACCAGCGCAGCAGCCGAGGTGACCACAGTTCCTGCCACAACAGCCACCACCGTGGCCCCTGACCCAGATGCTGAGGTCTGCAGTGGCAGACCTTTTGACGCCTTCATGCAGATCAAAAATGGCTCCATCTATGCTTTCAGAGGTCAGTGAGTGAATTCATCTGTTACAAGACAACCTTTCAGGCTCTGTCGTGGTCTCGCTCATGTTTGAAAGTAACAAATAAAACAGCATGATCGCTCTGGCTTTGTTTTCCAGGGGAGTACTTCTTTGAACTTGACCAGAAGGCAGTGCTCCCTGGTTATCCAAAGCTCATTAAGGATGTGTGGGGCATCAGCGGGTCCATTGATGCTGCGTTCACCCGCATCAACTGTCAGGGGAAGACCTACATCTTTAAGGTGGAACCAAAACAAATCAAATCCAATTATCTTTATAATTTTGATCACTTTAATTGTTTGCAACTCTCCAAATAAATCAAATGCTCTAAGAGAACAATAATAATAATTCAACAATAGAACAAAAAGATAATTCAACACAACAATAAAGTACTGTCGGGCGAGGAACCATATTTGGTGACTTAAGTGGACATGAAAATTGGCCTCCTCGTGACTCACTGGGAGGTTGTAGCAACACATGGATTTCTCCAAGCTAATCAGCAAAGATCAGCTTATGTGACATTATTGCATCTGACCAATCATTAAAGGCCTGGAACATTTTAAACTTCCAATTAAATTCTTCCTGAATTTGGGAAATTGGCTTTTCCCCCGTACCTACTCCCACACTTGTGGTTAAAGCATTAAAACTAACAGGGGTTGGCAGGGCTGCACTCTGATATGTGTGTTATATTTATGAAAATTACCAGTGTGAAACAAGGAAAATGTTCAAAAATAAATCCTCCTTTAAATATGTATGTTAGTCTTATAGTCTTTTGTAGAAAAAAATGCTCTAAATGTGTGAGGAATCATATATGATAACTTCAGTGACTTTGCACTATAAAAAAGTGAAAAAAAAACTTTGAAAAAAGTTTGCTTTTTTAATGTCCTCCAATAACACTCAAATTTTCCATTTCCATGTATTTCAATGACTGCCTTATAAAGGGCAAAGCCAATATTGGAAACATTATGTCATAGTCTAGTTTAAAAGTATTTTAAAAAGCTAATCTACTACAAATTTGATGTTTACCCATGTAGGGAAACAAGTACTGGAGGTTTGACAATGGCGTGCTGGATGATGACTATCCCCGAGACATAAACGTTGGCTTTGACCGGATTCCCGATCATGTGGACGCAGCGTTTGCCCTTCCTGCCCACAGCCACCACGGAAAAGAGAAGGTCTATTTTTTCAAAGGTACAACCAGATGCTTTGGTTTGCATACATCTCCAGCTGTTCCTGTAGTACTGAACATCAGTGGCTCATCATACCATCCTTTCTGCAGGTGACCAGTATTATGTGTATGAGTTTTTGCACCAGCCGTCTCACGAGGAGTGCATCAAAATGTCTGAGAGCTCTCCGTCCACTCCCTTCAGGCGCTACACTGATGTGTACTACAACAACTATGAGCGTTTCTTCGGCGAGCTCTTCTCTGACCGTGAGTTGTGCAGTTATAGACCTATTTGTGCAGACAGGAGTCACACGTGTGTGTGGTTTAACTTATTTTTAATCTTCTGCAGTGCCTCAGCATCATAGTAAGCACCACTTTATTAACATGGACTGGAAGGGCCTCAGGTCTCCAGTGGATGCTGCCATGGCGGGCAGAATCTACATCAGTCCTTGGAGGTCGACACGACGCCGCTACAACAGCCAGCAAGGCCAGCAGTGGGACCAGCAGTGGAACCAGCAGTGGGACCAGCAGTGGGACCAGCAGTGGAACCAGCAGTGGGGTCGGCGGAGACAAAATCGTTCACCCTCCTGGGGCTCCTTTGCTGAGCAGGGAATGAACATGGGGCGGGAATTTGCTGAAAGAGGGATGGAAATGGGTATGAGACTGGCAGAGAGGAGGATGGAAATGGCAGAGAGGCTGGGACAAGGCTGGGACAGACGGTGGGATCAAGACTGGGACCAGGACAGACGGAGAGATCGTTATGGCCAGAACAACAGAGGCAACTATGACTCCAGAGATGACCGATACGGCTATGACTTCCAAAGGGAGATGCCCATACAGACCGTCTACTTCTTCAAAGAAGGTAACAGATTCAGAATGGGACGCACCGTATCAAACAATGTTTCTGAAAATGTATTCAATCATTTATTTCCACTGCCTTACAACATGTGGTTAA